CAAGAAAATGTTGCCTTCAAACTATATTACTAAAATAATAAACAAAGGAGTTATAGCACTTTTAATATCACAGGTCAACATGAGTTTCAGATGTAAGTATAATAACACAGTACAACAAAAATTGATTTTTTTTATGCAACAGAGTAACCTAAATTTAAGGATTATGTTGAGAGGATTTCGAAATTTTTATTTTATTTTTTTTTTAACCCTTCGAAATACAGCCGAAAAGGTTTTTTCGTTGAAAGTTGGGTATTTGACGGCCGATTTTTAAAATTAACATGTCATCACATTTCCTTTTAAGCTATGAAGTCGTTTACCCATGGTTAGGTCAGCTAACAAAATTCGCCCCCACAAATTCCTCCAACAGTTTTCTTAGTTGGAAATTTAATCTCACTGCTTTCGTACCAATTTAGGTACATTTTTGCTACGATTTTTCCCAAATTCATACTCTTTGTAAGTCGTATGTCAGCATGATCGATTGGAGTCAGTTTAAGATTACGGAACCCCCTTGTGTGCAGTTCTACCCAGATAGTGAACTTACAATGTTTCAATTTTCGGAAAATGAAGTGATAAATATCCCAGGTAAATATCTTCAAACTAAAAACTTCACGGGTCTTATAGTACTTTTAAATCATTTTTTTTTAGAGTTCCTCTGTCATTCCCAGAATACCGAACGGTTTGTGCGTGTTGTTAGTGAGTCTGCAAGTGCTGTCACTGATGAAAAGCGCCTGGGCCACATTTTTGCAAAATTAGAAAGCCGAGACCAATATAAAAGCCTTGATTCGCGCCAAAATTTGCTTAAGTAGCAATAAATATTGTAAGTGAAATAACTTTTTTGTTGATTATTTTAGTAATATTGTTTGAAGGCAACATTTTCTTGAATTTTTAAGTACTTTCGTTTGGTAAGGAAAAAAATATGCTTTAGGGGGGGTAAAATTTTGTTTCTGCCCTTATCATGCGAACGCGACTTCAAAGCTTAAAAAGACATAAGAACGAAAAGTGAAGCTTCTCAAGACAAAAATAATGGCATATCAATTTTAAAAATCGGCCGTCAAATAACCAAGTTACAACGAAAAAACCATTTCGGCTGTATTTCGGAGGGTTAAAAAAAAAAAAATAAAATTTTTCCAGAACCCTCTCAACATAATCTTTAAATTTAGGGGCGGACATTAGCAACTTTTTTTTTTTGTATGGGGACCGACCCAGTCTAATGAGCCATATCTAATTTATGTATATATACAAACACGCATATGTATAGCTAAGTAATAATATAATTATAATGAATAATTACCGTCTCTTTACACATATTTTTGAACACAGATCTAATACACATATGGGCAAATCTCCGGAACCGTGTGCTTTTGTGTCACTCACCTTTAAATTAATTTTATTAATGTAATTTTACTTTTTATAAAAAACTTCGGCCATTTTGATAACATGTGACGAGTTATTGTGACTTATTTAATTTTTTTTTATTTTAATAATGTCATTTTAAGTTTTATAAACAATCAAAGTAAAAAAAATACAATTTTGACTTGTCATTTTGGGTACCTGTTGAAAGTTTTTTGAGTATAACTTTTTAGTGCAAAACGGAGACTTTCAAAAATCATGGCAAATAGTAAATGTAGTATTGGAAAATGCATTAGGCGTTGAGAAAAATATGTGCTCCTCATTAGAAATAAAACAATTTGAAATCTGTCACTCGTAATTATCAAAAAGGTAATATCTTAAGTTCTTTTTCATTTTGCCCTTTCAGCGATTGCTGAATTGCTCTCATTTGTCTATATACATATTAATTACACATTAAAGAATAAAATAAGACCTTTTACTGTTGTGGGCTTTTCAAAATATTGAAAATATAACACATATTGTCTGAATAGGCCTTTGCGTGAATGGCTTAAAATTTCTCATTTTTTTTTGACAGCACACTGACTGATTAACACATAAAAGGTTGGGCTTAAGCGTGATCGTTAGATAACATTCTTCATAAAGTTCGTTGAAAATGATAAATACGTAAAATAATTTTTGTCTAAAATACGGCCATGAATTTATATGTGTGTATGTTAAGGATTTTCAGATCTTTGGGCAGTGCGGTTAACGAATTTTTAAATATTTACTCAAATATGATATTTTCAATGGATCTTAAGAAAAAATTCTTTTTCGTAAAATTTTTTGGAAACTTATGTCAAATATTTGTATCTCGACACATTGTACACATTGCGCTTGACCTTCTTAAATACCTTCTTGAACATTTTTTAAATCGGACAAAAACCACGCCCTCTAGAAGTATCGCTAATATTGAATTTTCAAAAATAATCGTTTTTTACTTAGAACTCTTTAAGCATTTGAGAAAAATGAATCACACAATAATTTCATGTTTCCTCAATAGATTTCAAACAATTTGATGTATAATTTATTTTTGTGCGTTCAATTTAAAAATTTACGTTTTTTTTTAGAGTTGAATCGCACGGTTCCGGAGATTTGCCCATATGCTATGCAAACATTTTGCATAAAATGAGATCGAGGCCAATCCATGTACATACAATCGCACATGTACCTACTTGAACTATAATCAAGAATCAAGTCGAATATTTTATCTTAAATATGCTTTTATTTATTTAAAATTGGTATGCTTTAATAAGCATCAGCGTGCATATGTATATATGTACATACTTTATGTACATATGTACATAAGTAAGTACATGCGTTTATACATACATGAGTAGTCCACTTGCAAACAGCGTTATGTGATTTTATAATAGAACGCCATAAATTTGAAAAAACGACTACGACAACAAGTAACATTTAAATTGAATCTTTTTTATTATTACCTGAAAATTTGGATAAATAAGAGCCTTATAAAATTGTAACATAACATAACATGACATAAGATAATATTAACAGTCTATATGACTTAAAGCAGTTTTCTAAGTTCATCAGAAGATGTATACTTTTGAAAGATTATAAATAAGTATGATAGCGACTTTTGGAAGAAGAGTTAAGATTTGATGCTATTTTTTCAGAATATAAAAAGAGTTTGCACTGTGTTGTTAGTGGACATGAAACTACTTTAAATACTGGTACGTAATCCACCAAAAACTAAAAATCGCAAAAATTTTACATAGCGCACTTTGGAAGTGGACTACTCACATATGGACGTATCTAAATATACACATATGTACATACAAATGCCATTTGTATTGCTGTTCTCACCTTTGCCTCTTAACAAGCCACAGCTGCAAGAGTAACTACTACCAACCAGTGTTGCCGCGACGGCATGAAAAAATTTATCATAGAAGAAACAAAAAATGGATCAAATGTATCACAAATTTTTTATTTAAGTATCAAGTTAGAAAAAACTTAAAAAAATGCTATTTGGTTTCATACCTTTGCTTTTTATTATTGTCAATAACCGAAAGATCATTTAATTCGCATTCATACACGTACATATGAATGTACATGAAGAAAAAATATTTTACACAATGTGAATCTATCAAAGAATAGATTATTGTTTTTAATCTTGTATAGCGACGAACAAAAATTTTTTGTATAGATTTTATAGATAGATAGCTGTCGATCATTTACGTTAATTATCAAATTATGTGATACATTCCATGTTAAACTCGTTGAAAATTATGTCAAAAAGCTGAGACTGCCTTCAGTATCGACTTCATTTTTACTATGAATACGCCCCATCATATTCTCAACAGTAATGAAATTCTATTTCTCTTTTCATATTGAATCAATTTTAAATCTGAAAAGGTACGCTCCACATCTGCAGAGCTACTTATGAGGCAGGTAAAGCAAATTAAAAATGAATGAGTCAGCTCTTTATAAATTGTTCATTTAAAGCATTTTTCTTTAAGCTTATTTGACCCCAAAACGTTTCAATATTTTCGATCACAATTTAAAAGCTGGCACCGCATACATACATAAATATTTTCTCATTAACATATGTCAAATGTACTACGCGAAAAATTTAAGTATCTCGCGAAAAGAGCGAAAAAAATGTTTCTCCCGAAAATTTGCACAAACACGTATAACTTTTTAAGTGTATGGATCAAAACGGCAACACTGCTACCAACATCACCAACAAAAGCGCAAACGTATGTATTCACGAAATTTCAAAACAATCGCATTCTAATCGCGACTTTGTCCTCCATTATTACACTCCCCTCCCCTCTCATTGATTTCGGTTTCACAGCTTGTCTCCTCTACTTTGTGCAGAGTTTTCCTCCTCCATCTTTAGTTCTATACAATCAATACGTACATACAATGTATGTATGTACATATATTTATAATATAATTCGGACTTTAATGATAACCTTTTGGACCGTCGTCGCCGTAAGTGTTTCACTTCACCCCATAGAAAGCCCCGCCATTGCCTGATTGCCTGATTATGTGTTGTATGTGTGTAAATACAAACATACGTATTTGTTATTGTTGTTATAGGCAAACGTCATGTGCGTTCCACTTGTTGGCAACTGCCATGTTCTAAATTCACTTCAGACCGGTTCTGAACCGGTCCTTATTAGGTGAATGATATTTTTTGAAATGCCTTACAAATATTGATTTCATTGCATGTTTAAACTTACTTGATTTCGTATTAACTATACACATTTTTCGCCATTATGCGATAAAAATAATGATTTGTTTTTTACGTTTGTCCTTGTCAACTTTAATATGTCTTCTGAAACTAGATTGAAACTTTGTTATATTCTGCGAGGTCAATCCACTCTGAAGGACCCAACGTAATGGTAGAAACATTACATATATGTATGTAGTTGGAATTGCCAAAATTTTTTGAAATTCCCAAAGAGGCATACAGATGAAGAATGCTAACACAGATTTTATGGCCACTTTTCGAGATTTTGTTTAGATTTAGGATCGTCTTTAGGAAAAAATATTCGTCTATTATTCAAACATGCCTCACTTTTTTAGTTATTAAAAAAATTGCAGTATAATTTTTATATTAATCAACTATTTTTTCATATTTTCAGAGTGGTCCGAGAATAAGCTGCTTTTGGATGTCGACACTGCAATCGCGCATCCAAATCCGGTGACTAAAGTACACGACTCATTCGATATCGAAGCCTTAAAATCGGAAAATTTCGAGATTGCAGTACTGACCACTTTAACACCACCGCAATCACCTCCGCAATCCAGTACATCAGCGACTCTTTTGCAGAATGGCATAGCAACAGAAGGTGCAATAAATGTAAGTAGTTTAAAATATTTTAAATTGTTAACACGCAACTCTAACTCCATATCTCTTCCTGTTTTTTAAACAGGTCAACAATGTTCTTCAGCTGACACCATCGGAGACAGTTAGTCAAGTACCACCAACAGCACTGACTTCATCCCAAATCCACTCCGTTCCCTCTCCAGCATTAACACCAGCTCCATCTACACTAACTCTGCATAGCCTTCATTTTACTCCTTACTACAATTCAGCACCCTTTACACCCACGGACGCTGCACAAACCGATGACGATAAGCGCAATTCGCAAATCGTTGATGAATTTCTGAAATCATGCATCAAAGAATTGCCCAATTTGAACGATGATTGTGAGTCCATGTCCTGGTCGTCTTACTCCTCAGGATCGCGTCCAGATTCCATAGTGACCGATGAGGAGTGGTCGCCGGATTCATCGTTTTCCTCATCCGCCAGCTCGTCGCCTATGTACAATGGCGACGAAGATAACTCTCAATCTATGGTCCCCAAGTCTTCTGAACCCAAAAAGCGCACACGCCCATACGGACGTGGCGTTGAGGACCGCAAAATGCGGAAAAAGGAGCAAAATAAGAATGCAGCAACACGTTATCGTCAAAAGAAAAAGGTCGAAATGGAGAACGTACTCAATGAGGAGCAAAAACTTACACAGCGTAATGAAGAGTTAAAACGCGTATTGGCCGAACGTCAACGCGAGGCTAAGTACTTAAAAAACCCTCATTAAGGAGTTCTACAAGAAGAAAAAGGACAGCAAACAAGCCAATGCGTAAGAACGTAGTAACGCAGGCGGAGAGAAAACCATTTTGTCATCATACAGCCATTAAACCAACTGATCAACCAGCCAGCAACACTAACAACATTTCCAATTAACATTTAAAAAATATTTTATCTATGATTTTTTATTATTATGCTACGCAAACATTGCAATAAATCAGACAATTTGCAACTAGGAAAGTAAGTATGGCTCGCAATGTAAATTGGCGCGTATGACAGGACCGAAATCGGTCTTTGAACTAATTTTGCCGCTTGCATTTGCGACCACTTTATGTATCGTGTGCATAGTGCCCAAATATAAACCCAACATGACAGCATTTTAATAACTATGTATGCGTCCACTTTGCTTAGTTTGCTCTGACTTCAATTGAGGACAGAAAATGTTTTCGATTTATATATATTTCAATACAAATAAAAGGGTTTATAATTCATATTTTGAGTTATCCTTATTTGTTTATTTTATTTTCCTCTTTCGTTGCACCGAATATTAAACAAGTTTGTAAAAATTGTCTATAATCACCCAGAAAATCACGTTGTTATCAATAGAATGTTTGGATATTTGGTTTTGAATTCTCCAAGGGGGAAAGTCCATGCCGCATGCAATTCCAGCCTGATTGTCCGTAAGGAAGGCGTGTGAAAATTGCGTAGAAAATCGCCGTTTAGCGTATAATTTCCCAAAATATATAACTCTCTTAAGCTAACACACTTCTTGAGGAATTCGGATAGGATCTCATCCGTAAGTTGGCAGTAGCTTAAATTTACTCTCTGGACTTTTGTCACAGCATCCCCGATACACTGGCAGAATTCTTCATTAAAGTAGACATAATTAAGCGAAAATTCTCGCAGTTGTGCAGTTAAGGCAGCTCCCTGACAAAGTGGCTTTATAATATTTAGCACCGTTTGCGTTGGTATTGAATAGCCTACGATTAAACTGAAGATGCGCAAATTCTTACCGATAATTTTTAGCTGCGTCCATGCGAAGTTCGGAAGTTCTCGTATTTGAATATTTAGCTCCTTGAATGTGGCGATTCTTTGACGTGCGATCCCCGTAAGTCGAGAATTGCGAAGATCGAGTACATTAAATGTTTCCATGAGGTTGAGATACTTGAATATTTCGAAGAGACAATCGTCATTCAAGTCAAGAAGAGACGTCATTGGTTCCTGTGTAGTATCTGCAAATGACTGGAATCGTAATAAATAACAAAATTAGGTTACACATTGACTATATATACCTATATATATATATATAACTAGAGCTCGGATTTTTACGCAAATTGAATATGCAAAATATATGCAAACAATATGCAAGAATTATGCAAAATATATTAAACAATTTTATAAAATGTATTAGATATGCTAAAAAAATATTTTTATGCAACATTTTAAATAACACCTAAGAAACAAGACCACAGCCCACAGTGGTTCGGATCGCAAATTTAGCTGGACGAAACTATTTAAACAAATACTCGTTGATGGATCTTTACACCACTTCTTACCTAGGGGATTTTTGGGTCGCTGATTACGAATCTGAAGTCACTTATCTTATGAACTTTAATACGATAGACGATAAACCCTTGCAAGCGTATCGTACAGTGTGGTGACTATACCACTTTTGTGGTAGATCTACCACTTTTTTTTTGCTAAATTGCGTTTCTACCACATCTACCACCGTAAACCTAAAATCTACCACATTTTACAATTTTGCTCATTTTACAATGTGTATGATTGTACCGTCCTTAATTTTCTGTTGATTTTGTGTAATATCGTGAATTAGACAATTGTGAATACGACATTGGCTCTAATTTTTGCATTCCATTTTCTAATTGATCCCTATTTCTTTTCAATACGTGCCAAATTTGCTAGGTTCTAGGATCAGTGAATTGGTGTAATTCTGCTGCGAAATCAATAGCTTTAGACGGGAGTGTACAAAATGAATAAATTTATGAAAACGGACATTTTAAATTGGTTTTGCTCAAACTTCATTTCTCTTTAACCATTTATTGGATAAGTCTCAAAATCTGAACATTTGAAGTCAGATATCAGATTATTACGAAACTAATAAAGTATAAAACTTAATTTTATAATTTACACAGAAAATTGAAATTTTCCAAAAGTGGCGAGTGGGACAACGATGACACCCGCCTCTCTGAGTTGATGGATTCATTTCCCAATATTAGACAAACTATAAATATTTCGCTCAAAGCGCCTTTCTCGTATGTAGCTAATGGAATGTTAATGCCCATTTTATGCTTTAATGGCATTATCATATTTGAAAATTAAAAAAAAAAAAAAAACTACTTTAGCTTGTGGTGGGTGGGACGAGTCTCTCACCCGTATGCTGTAATCCGAAAGATCGTAGTTACGAATTCGTAGCTCCGTTTCGAAAATTCGAAAATTGGTATGCTGTTATCCGATCGTAACTATCAACGGCGTTGCCAACTAAAATAAATTCGCTTAATCAGCTGCTTTGACAGAAACAAATCAAAATAAATATAATCGCAAGTGAATAGTGAAATTAAAAAAAAATTAGTTTAATCATTATTTGAAAATACTTCCTTAATTAAGTAGAATACAAAGGATTCAGTGGCCGATGCCCTTTTCCCAGGAGGAAGAACAGCTAACAGTTGCATTAATATACAAAGGAGATTGCTAGGAGATTGATCTGATCCATTTAGCTTAAATGATAAAATGTAAGCTCCCTCCTTTTAAGGGCCTCCATTTCACTAGATATTGTGCCGCTTTAATTCTTGGAACGCTTTACCAAAACTCCACCACATCCTCTTTAGCTCCTTTTACAAAGCCTCGACCAATGTCCGGCCTTTCAGACTCAGGCATACCAACATTACGAATTTCGAAGATGGCTTAAGAATTTCGAAATTACGATACGACAACGCGGATTTCAGCATACCAATTTTACGATTCGTAGGAAAATCGAATCTACGACGGATTACAGCAAAGTTCGTGAGTAAAATGAGCTCTACTTGTTTCATATGAATATTTATTATACTTTTAATAAAATGACCTTATTTCAACGATGGGAAGATTTCGGTTTTTCAAAGTTAGGTTAAAAAAAATTGGCTGTGTCGGTGGGACTTCCAATAAGCATTTCTTTGAAAGCTGACCATGTGTAAATCTATTTTTGCAATAACTCAGCACTGTTTTAAAGTACATGAGGTGTACTTTCTCTTTGAATAATTATTATTTGCATTGTCAACTTAAATACACGAGCATTGCCTTGATAACTTGATGGGAAAATACCATGAACCAACGACTACAGATCACCTAATCAGCCATCGTTGTATTTGTAATCGATTTTCAGAAAAAAGTTTTCGTATCGTTTTTGACGTTTTTCGGTTTTGTTTACACCGTCTTCTCCCTCTTCGTAGTGATATTTTACCGATTGAATGTGTTTTCTGCAGCGATTTTAATTATAAATGTGTGATTGGAACAAGTTTGTGCGTATGTTTTGTTTGCCAAAGGGCGTAAATTTGCGTGAAAAGTGGGTCCACTTTTGTGGTCAGAACGTTGGCATTGAAAAATCGAGCTGTGCTGATGCTATGCGGTTGTAAAACACTTTCTATCACGAAAACCATATTTTATGGACAGCTTTTGATCAGTTTTATTCGGTTTCACTTATTATATTTTATAATAAATGCCAATAAAATCGCACTCAAGCACCGCACCTTTTTCGTTTTCTTGGTTTGTTTTCTTTATTAGGCAGACGTCAAAAACGCTCAGAAATATACTTTTTTCTTACTTCTTTGATTAGGTGATCTTGTATTTTTGGTTCATGGGAAAATACTATATGAGAGATAGTCGTCCTAGGGTTGCGTTTATAACAATAAAAATAGAGAAAATAGTGAATACTAAATCGATAAAAATCGATCACTGATAACACTATGCGACAGTGAAAATCGGGATGGGATGAAACCAACGGGAAATGTTATATCGGTCAAAAACAAGTTATACGTGTCCCGGCGTTTCGCTGGGTCACGTCTAGGAATCGAGATATATATATAACTATCATATAGGGGAAATTGTCACCTTTGGTGGTCTTTTTTTGACATAACTCGAGAACCACTAGTCCGATTTTGCTCAAACAAATTAAAAAAAAAAATTAAATTACAATTCCTTTAATCTGTTCACATAACGTTTTTCTATATAATCAACAGTTTTGCCGGTAAAAATAAATGTTTGAAGAAAAAAAATATTTTTTGCCTAAAATATTAAATTTTTTTTAAATCTGTTGATTATATAGAAAAACGTTATATGAACAGATTAAAGGAATTGTAATTTTTAATTTTTTTTTTTAATTTGTTTGAGCAAAATCGGACTAGTGGTTCTCGAGTTATGTCGAAAAAAGACCACCAAAGCTGACAATTTCCCCTATATGATAGTTATATATATATCTCGATTCCTAGACGTGACCCAGCGAAACGCCGGGACACGTATAACTTCTTTTTTACCGATATAACTTTCCCCGGTAGTTTGAACCCTTCCTGATCACTGACCCCTACCATTTGCCTCACAGTGTAACCTGTGGTATAGTCTTCCCTAAAATGACCCTAAGGTAAATTTATTAAGCTATTTATGAAATATATTTTAATAATAAATACTTTTCAGGAGAAAATAAAGCCCTCCAAAACCATTACGGGTGGAAGATAGTTCCGGAGAAAGCCCATTGTTTTTTGACATACCTACATATCTTTGGACTTTTGACAAAAAAACTTTGCTTTCTGTAGGTTGGAATTTAAAGTTAATTTTAAGGAGCTTCCATATAAAAATTAAAAATTTTATTTAACTTTCATTAAGATAGCATCTTAAACTGCTATTAACGATTAAAAATAAAAATATAATATGAGAACTCAATTAATTATTGCTTTGAAGAGAAAATGACCTCACTCGAGAGAAGTTGTTTTGTCAAATGTCCACAGCGAAATACTTATGTGTTTGTTTTTCTTGTACATTAGTAATATATGTACGTATGTGTGAAGTATTGTATCTTTTATAGACTAATAAAAGTCTTAAAAAAACTTAAATATTACTACATACATAATATTATTACATACATGAAAGGGCGGGGCAGTTTTTTTATTATGCGCGTATAGCTTAGGAGGATTCTACGTGTAATTCTAAGCAAATTTGCTGAAAAAACCATGGGTCTAAAATCAATTTGGAGTTTGCCAAATTGCGAGAATATGTTTCGAAGAAAATGTCCAAATTTTCACTGTTGGGCCCTCAGGTGGAAGTTTTAAGTAAAAGAAATGGACTCCTCATACCAAAAAACCCCTGAAAGCATATTTTTATACAAAATTAAAGCACTACTTTACGACACTCCGCTAAGGAATGCTAAGAACCTATTTTGGCAATTTGGCAATCATCAAATTGATTTTAGATCCATGGTTTCCTCGGCAAATTTTCTTAGAACTACACATAGAATTAGAGTTGCCAGCCGTACTATAATATATAGTATTGTACTATTTTTTGGGTCTGCGTACTATATACTGTTGGAAAAAAATATAGTATGCAAAAACACTATATTTCTTCAGTTATAAATAAAAATATATTTCAGTAATTTTCAAGAAAGAAATGTTTTAAAATGGATGGCATTTATACGGAAATAACAATATTAAAAGAAATATATCAAAAATGGCAACATTTTTAAAAATACTTAGGGCCAAATTCACAGATTTTTGTCCAGAAAATCTGTAGTTAACTGCCGATTCTGAGTTAACTACGCACTGTGAATTTGGCCCTTAGAAACATTTACCAAATTTACTTCAAATTATTTCGTTTATGCTCTCTATTCCTTTTTTTATATTAAGATTGTGAAATGGTGAGATGAGAGAAATAAAGCGACTATCTCACTAATAAAAAATGTACTTTTGATTTATATTAATTTAAATATTGATTGCGATAAAGCATGTCGTCGATTTTTTTGCAAAACCGCCCATCGACGATTCAGTGTTTTTTACGATTTGCGCGCGAATTTTGCATTAGATTTTTTCAACGAAAAAATTTCAGGAAGAAATTTTTTGACGCAGTTTAGTGTCTCCTGTTTAGGTGAACACGAAAATAAAACTGTTCCCCCAATTGCGATATGGGAAATGTCCGCCATCTTGGATTTTGTGTTTTTTACGATTTGCGCGCTAATTTTGCATTTCCCGCGAGGCAGGGGAAAGCTACTCAAAACTTTTTTCACAGTATCTCGGAGGTCGTGTTTTTTGGCGCGTATTTTCAACTGTGGGTTCACCAATAGGCCAAGCCCATGAATAAATATTTTCAGTCAGTTGAAACTGTATTTAGCAAATAGTTTTTGTCCCTTTATCAATACGACTTTTCTCCGATTCTAAAGAGTTTTATTGTGGCGAAAATAACTATGTGTGGATTAGGACTACTGGTGAAACCACATAAAAATAAAACGCGCCAATAACATTACCTCTGAGGTGGTGTGGAAAAAAGTTTTGAGTAGCTTCTCCCTTTCCGCTGCATTGAGCGCGTTGTTGGTCGAGATCTACATGTCGTACGTAAACATATAAATAATGCGTTTATTGGAAAATTTGTCCTCTACAACTTTGCCATTTAAATGTGCCACTTATTTCAAATAGAAATTGCTCAAAATTCGAAAAAACCGCGCCACTTGCCTAATTTGGGCATTTTTTGCATATTATTAGCAATAAATAATTGTTTAAAAGAATTTATAGGCACATGTAGGGAATCGAATTCCCAACAAATTTGTTAACCTTTTTTCGCGAGAAATGCAAAATTCGCGCGCAAATCGTAAAAAACATAAAATCCAAGATGGCGGACAAATTGGGGGAAAAATTTTCATTTTGTGCTCACTTAAACAGGAGACACCTAACTGCGTCAAAAAATTTCTTGCCAGAATTTTTTTTAATCTTACGTCGATTTTGGTCTAAAGTGATCGGGCTATTAACAGGAGAGCGAAAAAACGGTTTATTCTTTGAAGGCATTGCCTTGATAGGTGGTATTTTGTCTAGCTATTATTTTACAAATTTGCTATTTTAATAACGATTTTTATGCATAAATCTCGATGCCTGGAGTTCAGGGTTACCAAATCTCATTTTTGCCACAACGGCGATTTAGGCGGTTTTGCAACTGGTCGATGGAGGTTTTGCAAAACCAACGACGATATGATACTTTCAAAGAAATATATTTTTTATAGAGGAAATGCATAAGAAATAAAAATAATTTACACTTAAAAAGCATTTTTACTTTTTCTTAAAAAGAAATACTATATATATTTGAAGTGTACTATATTTTTTCAGATTTTTTGAAAAAGTACTATAAATTTCTTAGAAAATGTTGGCAACCCTACATAGAATCCTTCTGTGCCATACGCTCATGGTCGAAAAAATCTCCCATACAAATTGCATTAGGGCGCATACATAAATAAGTATATCGTCGTTTAAAGTACGAAACCGCTCATCAACAAAATGCAAAACAGCGTATGTTACGTTGCATAAATTATTTTCTAGGGAGTAAAGCCACTCATATTTCAAAATGAGTACTCTTTTTTATAAAGCAATCGCATTTCTGGCTAGTATATTTCAGGACGAATATATAAGGATTGAGCCAATTTGGAGAATGACGATAAGCGGTTTTGTACTTTAAACGACGATATGTAAATCTACCACATTGTTTTGGAATCTACCACAATTTTTCACACTTATCTACCACTAAACAAAATTTTACAGTCCGCACACTGGTATTGTATGAAATCGGTTCTCGTACTATTACTACGGTGACCATAAATATGGATTCAAAATGAAGGACAATTTTTCAAAAATATGCCTATATATATTTACGTAGTATAAAAATATCAAAAGAGTATTTATGATTCTAAATTCTTAATTCATTTTAAACTTTAAAAACGAATCACGTTTTCTTCATCGATATTAATCTTTTTTTACATGAATATTTATAAAAGTATAGGAAACATATTATAATTACAATAGCTTACACGAAAAGTGAAAATCTTTAAAAGATTATTTTATAGGCAAATTTTGAGTCGTTCAAAACGAAAACAATACCCTTTTTTTGTTTTTTGTACTTTTCGCAGTTATTTGTCAAAAATCGACGTCATGAATCGACGTAAACGACGAGTTACAAAGGTATTTATGTGCCCTTTACAAAGATTATAATTGGTGCAGATTTCACTTCATTGCATTTACATTTCTAATCCGATATTCATTATCTTTGGCTTAAAATTTACTGTAATGATATATCTTCTTTATCGAATTTTTAAACTAATGAAAAAAATAATCAAATAAAACTGCGTATTTGATTGAAAATCTCACTTTTTTCGACTTTGACGACAAAATGCAAATGGTAGCCTGTAGCACTAATAATTTTCATTGAAGTCGCCACAAGTTATATATTTTGGTAAGAGGCACATCAATACCTTCGAGATGTAAGTCGCTTACGTTGATTGGGAGATTTTTTCATGAGATATTGAAGAAAAGCTACGAAAAGTACCAAGAAACACTTTTTTTTGAAAAAATCCATCCATTGTCCGATAATTTTAAAATAACGGATAAAATGCGGGACAAATGCAGGACGCTTGGAAAAAAGCAGTACATTTTCAGGTTTTTCAGGTTTGGAAAACTACGCAGGACCTACCTTTGAAGAACAGTACGGTCCTGCAAAAAACAGAACGGATGGTCACCGTAACTATTACCCATGATAAAAACATAACAAGGTAAAACCATTGAGAGGCAGTCTGACGTTTGCCAACAATATAATTTTAAAATTCGAACTCAAGCTCACACACACATTCTCTTCTGTAATCTCAAAAAACAACAATTGTG